TGTGAAAACACTTGAGAGCTACTCTCTTACATATTTCAAGTATATAATAATTATTAACTATAATCACCATGCTGTACATTAGGCCTATAGTACATAAATACAAAGGAACAATGCTATTGAACCATTATATCCCCTTTTCCCCTACCTCCCAGCCTCTGGTAACCATTTTACCTTTTGTCACTGTAAGGTCAACTTTTTTTTAATTCCACGTATAAGTGAGATCATGCAATATTTGTCTTTCTGTATCTGACTTATTTCACTTAGCATAATGGCCTCAAAATATACCCATGTTGTTGCAAATGTCAGCATTTCCTTCTTTAGGTTGGAATTTCCCATTACACACACACACACACACACACACACACACCACACATCACACTTCACACACATCACATCTGCTTTATCTATTCATTTGTTGGCAGACACTTTGGTTGTATTTATATCCTACTGTGAATATTACTATGAATAATGGTGCAATTGCAGATAACTCTTTGATATAGAGGTTTTATTTCTTTTCAATATTGTGATTTATAAAAAAATATTTGATCATATTCCCATTTCCTGGCACCTAGCTCCTAAACCCCTTATGGAATCTTTGAAGTGATTAAATGTTCTTTTCTATGGTAATGAGATGGCAAGTGCCTAGGGGAACTAGGAGAGCTTCAGGATGAGGGGCTGGTAGCCAGGGAAAACAATCCAAAGATTAGAAAGCTAGAACTTTCAATCCCATCACCCTCACTCCTACCACCTCTACCACATGGGAGAGGAGAAAGGACTGAAGGTTGAGTTAATCACTAATGGCCAACGGTGAAACCAATCCTGGCTACAAAATTAAACTGCCATAACAACCCAAAAAGACAAGGTCAGAAAGCTTCCAGACTGCTGAACATGTGGAGGTAGTGGAGGGTCACCTACCTAGAGAGGATATGGAAGCTTCTCACCTCTTCTTCACATACCTTTTCTTATGTATCTCTTACACTATTCATTCGTATCCTTGAAATACCTTTTGTAATAAACCGAGTAAGTAGTGCTTCTTTGCATTCTGTGAGCCACTCTAGCAAATTAACTGAATCCAAGGAGGTAGCCAGTGGGTCAAAACTATAGGTAGGCACTTTTGTGGGAGCCCTTAACCTGTGAGATCTGATGCTATCTCCAGGTAGAAGTGTCAGTACTGAAATGAATTATAGGCCATCCAGTCAGTATATGCTGTAAAACTGTTTGGTGAGTGGTGATGGTGAGAAATCCTCACACATTTTAGTGACCAGAAGTTATGTATTCTGTGTTGGGAACTAGAATAAAAAACACTGGGTTTTCTTCTATCACTCAGAAGTGGAGTGCAAGATCATATAGTAGATCTATTTTTAACTTTTTGAGGAACCGCTATACTGTTCTCCATAATGATTACTTCATTTTATATTCCTACCAACACTGTACAAGGGGGCCTTTATCTGCATAGCCTCACCAACACTTGTTACCTTTTACTTTTTATAACAATCATACTAACAGGTATGACGTGGTATCTGATCGTGGTTTTGATTTACATTTCCATGATGATTAGTGATGTCGAGCATCTTTTTATATAGCTGTTGACCATTTGTATAACTTCTTTTAAAAATATCTATTCAAGTCCCTTGACTTTTATTAAATTGGGTTCTTTTTCCTATGGAGTTGTATGAGTTACTGATATATTTTAGATATTAACTCCTTATAGGATATGGTTTACAAATATTTCTGAATACATGCAAAAAAATTTTGTGTGGCCTCTTTTGGAAGCCTTTCAGTGTTTTTGTCTCTATCTTTCATTTTAGAGATTATTCCTAAAATCTCTAGTGATCCTTGATTGTCTGCTCATTTTCAAGAATGAGACAATAAAAAGCCAATTGGAAGCTCTAAATACATAGAGCTGATACTCTATGTATTGGTGGTGAGCTTTCATTTATCTGGTGATCCAAGAGGGGCTGGCCACTTCATCAGGTGACTCTGAAAGATCAGTATACAGATAAGTCTTTTCTCCTGGTTCAATCAGTTTATTAAAGAAGAAAGCCACCAATCTTGCCTGAGGTATATGTAAGAGGCTGCAGGCATTCTGAAAGCCAAGCAGGAAAAGTCTACTGGAAGGTCTCAACATTTAGTTTGCAAGCATTCATTTTCAGTATGGAGTATCCTTCCCTATTCATATATAACCAAGCCCCACAACAAAGTTAATGCAGTTTTTCTCTTGTAAGTATCTTGAACTATTCTCCCTCCCCAGCTGAAGTTGTTTTATTTTGGTACTGGGGATTGAACTTGGGACCTTGCGCTTATGAGGCAGGCACCGGAACCACTGAGCTAAATCCCTGGCCCTAGTTGAAGTTTTTAATAAATGGAACACATTCTTTTCTCTGTAAAACTTGAACAGACTCCCTGTTCCCATTCCTGTAATGATTGGTTGCTAACCCTTTTTATCTATGTTACAGAAGAATGAACTAATAACATCATAGGATGATCTATAATTTTAATTTTGAGAACTGGGGATTCCTCAATGGTGCATCGGATATCCATTAACATCAAGAAATCTGAAAAGTTGATTGTATTAAAAACCTATAAAACTACCAGCTTCTCCCCAAAGTCATCCTTCTGCAACCTTCTCCCTCATAATAACCCATAATCATGCTTTCTGGGATAAAGAGGATTTATGGCTTTGTCCTCCATCTTCTTCGTTGGAACCTCCTTTTCTCCAAGCAGTGATGTTTAGTGTTTGATGTTTGTCTCATATCAGATGCATGAATATGATTTGGGAGTTCAGTAACATGTGGAGCTCCTGACTCTAGTTCAATCTTTTTTATAGGTATGCTGTCCAATATGATAACCACTAGCTAGATGTGGCTATTTAAATTAAATCTGAATAAAACTAAAAATTCAAATTTTCTGTCACTACATACAATTTCAAGTACTCAACAGCCACTGTGGCTACCACATTCAGCAATTTAGAAAGTGAACACTTCCATCACCACAGAAAGTACTAATGGGTAATTCTTCGCTAAAGAGTAAATGCCAAGATTCTCCTGAAGCAAGGATTGAGTCATATGGCTACTGAGATGAGGGCAAACATTTAAGGATCTACGTACTACTCAGAGTAAATTCTAGGCTTCTACTGAGGCAAGTGAGGGGTAATCATGTGGCCATGGGGCTAAGGGTAAGAATCTAAGGGTGTTCATGTTCATAGAAGCACAATTTGTAATAGCTAAAACTTGGAAGCAGACCAATTGCCCATCAACTGAAGACTGGATAAAGAAAATGTGGTTTTAAAATAAAATGGAGTACTACTCAGCCATAAAAAATGAGAAATTAGAGACATTTATAGCTAAATGGATACACATTGAGGCGATACTCTTAAGTGAAATAAATAGAACACACATGTGTAAATACCAAATAGTTTCTCTAGTGTGAGAAACTGAAAGTAAAAATAAGGACTAAAAGGTATAATAGATAATGTGAAATAGGAAGAAAAGGGGCAAAGGGGAAGGGGAAGTGGGAGGGGTAGGGGAAAGGAAAGAAGGGAATGGAATTAATATGAGAAAATGAAAAAATGGAAACAAAGTCTTTGTAAATAGGGAGGGATGGAGGGGTTAAAGGGAGGGCAGGGGAATGGGGAAAAAATAAGAACCAAGAGACATTATGTAAAAGTGCAAATTTCCAATGATGAATGTCATTATATTGTATACCTAAAATGTACCAATAAAATTAATTAAAAAAAGAATCTAAGGGTGTAAATTTTAAATCTGTAGTGTCCAGTATGGTAGCCACCAGTCACATGTAGCTATTTAAATGTAAATTAAAATAAATCAAAATAAAATAAGTAAAAAAAAATGGCTCCCTAGTTGTATTAGTATATTCCAATCATTCAATAGCCACATGTGGGGGGCTGGGGATGTAGCTCAAAGGTAGAGTACAAGGTACTGAGTTTGATTCCCCAGGACACCCCCCACAAATATGCCACATTTGGCAACTAGCTACATTCAGCTAGCACAGATTACAAAACATTTCCACCATTCAGAAAGCTCTGCTGGGCATCACTGCCTTACATAATCAGTTCTTCATTCCTATGCTCAGAGTTACATGTTACCTCCAATACCTGAGCCATTCCCATATTTGACACAGTAAATCAACTTACTTCTTGTTGCCTTCTCTCATGACAGACTCAAGTTGAAACCTTCCCAATTCTGCTAAAACAGCTACTACCAGGACATTAACCAGCCTTTCTTTGACTCACAAAAGGTACCCCCTTGGGAATGAATGGAATGTACCTTTGGTGGAAGGAAAAGACAACTTCTGGATGTATGCAAGCCCTGAGCCAGGGGCACATAGCTTTGAGGTAGTGTGGGCTGCTCTTTTACTGGCAAGTGCTTCTCAGCCAGATATTCTTGTGCCATGAAAATAGAGGCAACAGTCACCACTATTCCAAATATTTTCCATTTTCTAAAATTCTGTTGACATCTCTTCCCCACTGTCCTCTTTCTATTCTTTGTCCTTCTGCATTTATATCTCAGTTTATTCCTTAACGATCATTTTTCTTGATCCCACATGGATTTAGTCGCATTAAACTATAAGTCAGAATTAATATTTTTCATTTGTATCTTGTTCTTCTTGTTAGAATTTATCTCTCATTGGCAAGAATGTGTTGCAGTCAATCTCACAACAAATCCCAAGTACATTTATACCTCCATAGGAGACAAGTAGAGACTTCAGAGTCTACTTTTTAAGAAAACACTGACAATCAGAATTATCAGTTCACAAGTAGAAAGTTGATATCTGGGTTTTCCAAATGCTATTCTAAAACCTGTACTAAAACACCTACCCAAGTCAAAAAGTCACTGCTTAGAAAAACTCCTTTAGATTATACTACCTAAACAATCAAGTTTTGCTCATTTGGTATTTTTTTAATTTAACAAACATAAAACATAACAAACATAAAATTATGAACAAAAAATGAGAAAAAACCGAGTATTTTTGTTGCATACCTGTGCTGGTGGTACTTGCAATGGATTGTTATCCAAAATTATTACTTGTAAATGATGCAGCTTCCTGTAACAAACTGGAATTTCTGTCACTTTATTACAAGAGAAATCCAGCTTGACCAATGGAAGATCTCCTAACTCTGTTCAGAAATCAAAAATTATTATTTAAAGTTTACATTAGTTACTCTTTAATTCATGTGAGTAGAAACAGTGAACATCTTACCTTCTGGCAAAACATGAAGATTATTTCTTCTTATGTTTAGTTCTCTAAGTGAATGTAATTTTCCCATTTGTTGAGGAAGGACCTGAATTTCATTACAACTAATATCCTAAAGAAAATAAAGTAAGAAAGTAGAATTTTAACAAACTACAAATTTACCGCAAAATACAAATATACTCTAATTTTTAAATTAGAGCATATAGCTAATAGCTAGCAAAAGTTACCTCTAATGTTATATCTGGAAGATTTGTATTTATAATACATCATGAAGTCATAGCAGAGTCAGCAGAATTTCTTCTGTATAAAATTTTGAAATTATAACTTAGAAACTACATGAGTCAACTTCTCAAAAACCTCAACTAACGACCAATCCTCACCCTTAAAACCAAAAGTAAAGATGATACAGGTGCTCTTTATGCAGAAGTAAGATAAAGGACTAATAAGTATCAATCACTATGGTAATGTATCAATTATTATAGTTGATTCAAGATATATGGGTGGCTAAAAGTTGAGAAAGTCAAAGATTTACAAATGTGAGCTGGAAAACTAAAGACTATGGTCAGGATCAATTTAACTAAATTGCTTTCCTCAAAGGAATACAAAATATGAGGAGTTACAAGCTCAAATATTTGTGGTTAAATTACAACTCAAAGATACTTTAAGAGATCAGAATCAAAAACCTTAGGACTAAATAAAAATGTAAGCCCTGATTTAAATATGAACAATATCAACTTATCATAGTAAGAGAATAAAGAACACCTTAAGTTAACTGGTTTCTCCTCTCCCTGCCACTTTCAAAACCACTTCAACAAAAAAAGGAAGAGAAATCTGCAACCTGATCTTAAGACAGTAATCATTCCAGGCACACTGCAATTGCACCTGATTTCCAGCTTTTACTGAAAATGATATTAGCTTGGAGGGAGGGAATGGCATATACATTCAGTTTTATAAAACATAAAATGACAGGAATGTCAATTCCAAAGAATATTAAAACAATGTAGAGAACAATTCAATAAATCTATTGATGAATATGAAAATGTATCCTACATACTTTTTTCAAAATATACTCAAGACATCTTCTTTCAGGAACAAATATTTATGAAATACTTTTTGCTAGGCACTGTTCTAGGGGTTGGATACACATCAAGGGAGAGAACAAACAAATAATGCTGCCCTCATACCCCCACATGGAGTTTGCATTCTAGCATGAGGAGCAGGTTATATAATATGGTACAAAGTGATAAGTACTATGTAAAATAAGCAGGGTAGAAAAAAGGAAAATGGTTGTGCTATAACAGTGGAATGGTGTATTAGCAATTTAGATCATCTCATGGAGAAAGTGATGTTTGAGCAGTACTGTCAAGAGCTGAGAGAGTAGGCCATGCCAATACATAAGAAAGCAATACTCCATGCTGAAGGAACAATAAATGTAAAGATCCTTAGGCACAGCACATCTGGGATGTACAAAGACCAGCAAGGAATCCGAGGTAATCAGAAGGAAGTAGGCAAGGGAGAAGAAAGGATAGGAAACAAATATGACTTTCACTTTTACTGATAGATATGGGCAAAACCCAGAAACTTTTAAACAGAGAAATGATGGATGTGACTTATGTTTTGACAAGATAACCTTAGCTGCTGCAATCAGAATAGACTATTAATTCAAATGATGGCAAATAAAAGTCTGGGAAATGCCCTTTAAAATCAATATTGCTTCTTTCCAAAGGTGCCTGATACTGAAGATTTCCATATGGAAACTCCTGAGAAATTTGACAGCTAGCCTCTATTTCTCAGAAGAAATAAACCCAGGCACAGGAAATTGACCTACTCCAAAGGGTACTCTATAAAATACTCTTCTGGGGTCTGGGGGTCAGATAATATTTCCTAGGTTTCTTATGACAAAATTTCCTATTTGGTTTCCACATTCTTGTGAAAAAGTATCATGGAAAAATATTTTAATAACATAAAACACCCACAAATTCCTTATATGATTTACCACTGTCAATTAGCCATCCTAATGCTATCTATCCATCTATTATTGATTTCTAGAGTTTAAAGTATAATTTTAGTGCTGCATAAATTAACAATATTTGATATTTTAAACATTCTACTAAAATTAAAATATTAGAAAAATCTAAAAGTCTTAAATGATTTTGACATTTCATACACCTAAAATTATCTCATGAAATATAATTTAAAACAGCCAAAAGCTGGGTGTGGTGGCACATGCCTATAATCCCAGCACTCTGGGAAACTAAGGCAGGAAGAACACAAGTTCAAGCCCAGTCTGGACACTGAGGGAGACCCTGTATCAAAAGAAAAGTAAATAAAATAGTAGGTGGTAGGGATATAGCTCAGTCCAAAGGCTTTGTATTCAGTCCCCAGTACCTTCCCCCCAAAAAGGGCCAGAAACTGAATGAAGGAAAAGAAGGAAGAAGAGGAAGAAGAGAGAGACAAAAGGAGGAAGGGAGGGAGAGAAGGTGGGAGGGAAAGGTAGAAGGAATTACAAAGCAACAAAATCTTAAAATATAACATTTCTAAAACTTTTAAAAACATTAATAGTGTACAGCAGAAAGAAAGCTTCTCTTTTTATTATGAATTTGTTAGATTACAACTGAAATCTCTATTCATTTTTGAGTAAGAGACCTTTAACAAAAGGGACATTTTCAGAACTGAAGCACCTAAAACTAAAGCCAGAGAAAGAAAGGTAATAACATGTTTATGCTATAGAAGAACAGATTTTTTTTGGTAGGTTCTGGGGATCGAACTTGGGACCTTCCACTTATGAGGCAGGTGGTGGCACCGCTGAGTTAAATCCCCAGGCCCAGATTTTTGATAACATAGATGGTAGACACACACAGATTACAAGCAATCAAAGGAAGAGGTCATCTTCATCTGTATTTCTTGACATAGTAGCCCCAGGATCAATACATAAAAGTGATAAGGGAATGTGGTCTGTGTCAGAATAAGAAAGATCACTATCAAATAAAGTTTTGCAAAGGAAAACTTAGGGTGGCTTAAACACACACAGAGCTGTCCACCCTTGAAAATACATAATTAGATATGTCAAGGATTCCTGCATTAGAAAGTGGTTATATCTAATCACTTCTAAAATCTTTCATAACCTCAAAACTCTATGGTTCTAAAACATAACGTGAAATTCAAGAAAGTTTCCTTGCATTATAATCTGATATGAAAGTATTCCTTAATGGATAAAAGGTATTCCTGACATTTCTATTTGTTCCTCTCTAGTGTAACAGTATGTTCCTGTATTAGCTTTCCCATTGCTTAACACACAATTTAAAGAAAGAAAGGTTTAATTTAGCTCACAGTTTGGGAGGACTCAGTCCATAATCACCTGGCTCCAAGGCAAGAACATCATAGAGGAAAGGCATGGTGGAGCAAAGCTGTTTATGGCAGCCAGGGAGCAGAGTAGGGGAACAGCACCAGAGAGGACTGGTTGAGGGAGCATGTATAGTACCCAAAGCCACACCTCCATGACCCACCCAGATACATCCTGGAGTGTGCTCTATTAATCTGCTAGGCATTTCTTAATCCAATGAAGTTGACATATCAAGATTAACAATCACAATCTACCTCTTGCTAATTTCATACCCAAACACATCTCTTTATACTTAATCTCCACATAAAGACAGTAACAAGTTCATAATTCTGCCTAGCATAATACAACTATCCTGAATACAACCAGAAATGCAATAGTCCTTTCCCCAAAGTCTCAACAGTTCCAGCATTTTTCAAAAGTCCAAGTTCAAGTCTCTTCTGAGACACAAGCCAAATTCTTAACTGTGAACCTCTGTGAAAATCAAAAATATTACATAATCCCAAAGTACAGTGATCCCTTGGTTATTGAACTCAATTTGTTCCAACACAAAAGAGTTCGAGAACTGAACATGTTTCTCCCATAAGAAATAATGGAAAACCAAATAATTGGTTCTGAGTCTCAAAAATTACACCTATAAATTAATTTTTCCCTGACTTTACAAATTTCACAATGATTTCTTTAATTCTATTGTGGTTCTCACAGTTTTCCTCTTAGCTTTATTGCTGGTATCACTAACTTCCTTTGGAGCCATGGTTACGATATTTTATGCAAATAAAGTACAAAAAAGCACAACAATGAATGCTGTCATGCACTAACACAAGCACTATATGAGATCTGTGTGAGAGTAACACTTAGACTGAAGCGGCACCCTTTTGTGTCCACAGTGAGATGTGACAAGTGACTCACTCTTGGCTCATAAATATGTTTTTCAAGTCAGAGTTTCAGTTTGACTATCAAGCAAAGTTATGAACACCAAGCAGATTGTTTTTAAACTTTGCTGTTCAAGTAGTGGGAAGTTCAAGCTTGGAGCTGTTCAATAACTGAGGTATCACTGTATAATGGCATAGGGTAAATACTCCCATTACAAAAGAGAGGAAAAGAACCAGATCAAAGCAAAACCAAAAACCATCAGGGCAAACATTAAGGTAGCTCCATGTCCAACATCCTGGGCACATAGTAGTAAACTGTGATTTCCAAAGGGACTGAGTGGCCCCACTCCTATGGCCTTGACAGTTGCAGACCACAAGGCCCCTCTCTTGTGCTGGCTTCACTCATGACCTATACCTTTCCTTGGCTAATGTTCCATTCCTGGCATCTCCAATTTCCTTCGGTCTCCACTTAACCTTTGCCTTTATTCCCACAACTTCATATAGTATTGTCTCAAGAGCTCCTTGCCTGGCCTCCCACGCCTTCCTCTGAAATCTGGATGGAAGCCTCCTGACCCCACATCTTTTGCATCCTACATGTCAGTAAAACCAGCATCAAATGAATGACAACACCAAAGTCTGCTGTTGGTGGAAGCAGTTGCCAGGCCCTTTTAGGACATGTCTGCAGCAGCCTCTGAGTGTCTGGATTGATGAGAATGGCGAAATGGATCACAGGGAACAAATTTCCTAGGAGGAATGATTTCATTTAGCTCATACTTTGGGAGATTTCAGTCCATAATCACCTGGTTCCAAAGCAGGAACATCAGGGTAGAAGAACATGGCTCAGCAAAGCTGCTTAGTTCATGGTGGCCAGAGAGCAAGGCAGGGGAACAATGTGAGAGAGGAATGGGCAAGGGAACATATACAATATCCAAGGCTACACCACCATGACTCACCCAGATACATATTACTAATCTGCTAGACATTGCTTAATCCATGAAGATGACATATCAGGATTAATGGTCACAGTTCCTGTTATAAAATTTTAGATAAATTCCTCAAGAAAACTGTTGGCCCACCAGACATACTAAAATCATACTTAAGAATACTTTAAAAATACCTGTTCATTAGAAAAGTATTAATCAATATAAGACAGAAAATAAAAATAAACACACAATGACACACAATGGAATACTCTGTGAAGTTGGGGGAACCAAAAGACAGGAAAATAGTTCAGTGCTTTGAGGATCCCATTATGTTTCCCAGTTCAATGCCCAACAGATCTAAAATGTTATATTCAAGGTACTTACTTTAAATCATTCTGTTTCTATAATCAATTGCATAGAGTGGCCTCTTTTCATTTAGCTTGGTCCCAAAAGTGTTATAAAATCACATAAGCATATAGTAGAAGAGACATTATTTTGTTAATCAAACTGTTCCCAAGCATTATACTCTCTTATCTCCATTCTACAGCTCTAGAGTTCCTGTGTAAAAATGCTAAAAAAAACTTTTTCCTAAGAACTTTACTATCTACAAAATGAATAAAAATGCTTATTCATTTGAAAAACATTTTTTGAAGCTCACAAGCAAGTCTTCTAACTTCACTAGAACTAAGGAACAAGCAGGCTTTTTGTGGCTTCAAGCCAAAATCAGACACAAAATCTACTAAAGTAAATTTAAACATATACCAAGGTATTTCTTTTTTTAAAATTACATTGAAATTCTACAAAGAAATGAGTAGTCTACCAAAATATTAACATTGTATATTACATACATTATCTGTATATAAAAATACAACTATTTTACTCACCAATTCCATTAAATCTTTTAACTTCCCAATTTCTTCTGGAATGGATACCAGTTTATTATTACTGATGACCAAAACTTTAAGGGGTAGATCAAATAGATATTTTGGCAATGTTGATAAAAGATTTCGACTGAAAAGAGTAAGAAAGTCTAGTTATGAGAAATATGTCTGAAATTTGATATGCTATTTTGAAAAAGAACAAATTGCCTCAAAAGTAAATAAAAGCTTTCAGTAAGTAATAACTATTTATTGAGTACTTACTTTGCATCAGGCACAGGTAAATTCCTTACATGCAGTGTCTTATTTAATCCCCACATTTAGCCCCACAAGATAGGTGATACTATCTCCATTACGCAAATAAGAAAATGATGCTTATAAATGGTTGTGTGACTTGCCCAAACATAGAGAATATTCAAACGGCAATCTGACTACAAAATTTGTCCTGTCATCAATGATATTGTCCTCCACACCACCAGTACTCAAAAACTCAGAATGACTCTTCTGAACTAGATCATGCCAGAACCTTGCACTCAGGTATAATTTCAGTATATTTAATACCTACATGGTTGTAACCAGGGAAAGGCTCCAGGGATAAAGTCCCATGTACTATGTTCAAATTTATGAAAACAAGGAATAGGATTATATTTTTAAAAACATGCAGTAACTCTAACCCACTGCCTTTTGCTAGTTTACAATAGAATAGCCTATCTCAGCTCAATGTTAAACAACATTCTTCTTGGTGGATACATTTATAGTATAATAACAACTAAGACTGAGTACTTACTTTGTGCCAGGCAATGTTCAGAGCACTTCACATGAATTAATTCAACTAACCCTCATAATCTACTTTAGGAAGACAAATACTGTCACGATCCCTATTTTACAGGTGAAAAAAGTCACAAAGAGATTAAGTAAACTGCTCAAAATCACATAGCTGGCAAGAGGGCTAGCTAGGATTTAAACCCAGGCAATCTGCTTCTGGGATCTTTGTCCTCAAACTATTAGTCTGATGCAGACTGATGCAAATGATCCCACTATCAAAATATACACATTTACATGCTACCAAGTGACAAACAATAAGCTATTATCTTTCTTATTTTTCCAAGTAACATTTATAGACCTGTGCCTAGCATTTTGTGTAATGTGCACAGCAACAAAAGCCCAGTGTTATTCAAGGGAAGGCTTTAAGATCCTTCACATCATCTTGTCCCTGCAAAGGACATCTAGAAACACTAGACAGAATGTTTTTAATAATAGGACACTTGGGGAAAAAAAGACTTAGAAAATAAAAGTCAATTTTCCTCAACTAGTAATCTGGTCAGGCTACTGGAATGTCTAATATGCTGGGGAAGGGGCTGTCACAAATCCTTCATACTTTCAAATCAAGCAGACTCTTTGAGCACACGGTCTGTCTGGGCCCTTTCATGGTGGAGCACACAGGGTCTTTCTGCAAGATTCTACTGAAAAATGGGAGTAGTATACAGAAAAAGAGTTGAAAAACCATCTTAAAAACTTATCAAGATATTTTCACCAAAATAAAATAGTAAATGGGAAAATATGAGTAAACTCATTCTAATTTCCCTTAGGCTAAAATCAGTTTATTTTATCCCCACCCCCATCCCGATACTGGGGAGTGAACCGGGGCCTTCACACTGAGGTATATCCCCAGGCCTTTCTATTTATTTATTTATTTTAAATTTTATTTTAAAATTTTGTGACATGGTCTAAGCCACTAAACTGCCCAGATGAGGCTTGAACTTGCAATCCTCCTGCCTCAGCCTCCCACAGTGCTGTATTACAGGTGTGCACCATCACACCCAGCAAGAAGCTTCTTAAGTGACTTATTAGCACAGTTTTCTTTCTCCAGAATTTGATTTCTTCATACATGATAAGTCACTAATCATCGTTTTTTTTAACTACATTTTTTAGAGGGAACAAAAGGAACCCAGTCACTACAACGAATGTTACCTCAGTAGAGTTTGTTGAAAAATGTTTGTGACTGTTAAAAATCAGGAGACATGGCCCGGGGATTTAGCTCAGTGGTTCTGCTGCCTGCCTCGCAAGCACAAGGTCCCGAGTTTGATCCCCGGTACCAAAAAAAAAAAAATCAGGAGACAACTTTTAGAAATCAAAACAGGATAGAATTGGAGGAAGACTTTAGTAAAACTAGTCTAAGATATATCATACATGTCAATATAAAAACGTCACCCAGTTTTTGGTAAATCACTTTTTTTCATAAAAGAACAAAATGAAACAAAAACAAAGACAAAAAACTTGAAAATATTCCATTTTCCTCAACCTCTTCTAAGCCAGGCCAAGGAATAAAACCTAAATGACTGATACCAACAGAAGCAAATTTCTCTCACACATTTTAAATTGTAAAGTGGTTTCAGTTGAAATAGTCTGTACAGGAGGTAACATCACTGAGGACGTATAAAATAATCACAGTGAGAAGGGAATATTATTATTTATGTACATTAATTACATTTGTTACTTGTTATTTGTATTTATTTGTTAATTGTTAATTATATTTGTTATTTGTCCTATATGGGAACTTAGAGAAGTAATTCTGTAATGAGTGAGATGAAACTATCCCTTCCAACTCACAAAGAAAACAAAAGAATTCTAAAATTAAGTCACAATATATCAATCACTCATTTGGTAGAGCAATGTTTTTTATTATACTTATTGAGTGTTCACTCTTTTATAAATATAGAGTAAGAGTGAAGAATGAGAGCACTACAGCCAGGATCACTTGCTGTATATACAATCACTCCACACTATTCCTGGGTTCTACTTCAGTGGATTCAATCAATCAAGGATCAAAAATGTTTAGAAAAAAAATTTGCATCAGTACTGAACATATATAGAGTTGTTTTGCTTATTATTCACTAAATAATAAAATGTAACAACTACTTGCATTACATTTCCATTGTTTTAAATATGATAAGTAATCTAGAGATGACATCAAGTATACAAGAGGATGTACACTATGGCATAAAGCACTATACCATATTATATAAGGGAATTGAGCATCCACAAATTTTAGTATCCATGAGGAATCTTGGAACCAGTCCCCCACAGATACCAAGGGACAACTGCATACATTATTTTGGGCAAATAGCTTAACCCTGTTTCCTCATCTGCAGTACAGGGATAATAACAGTACTTATCACAAAAGCTACTGTGATGATTTTTTTTAGTAGTACATGTTTGCAGTACATAATGATTACATTTATTGTGGGGATTTGGTACATTTACATAACACAACTTAATTCTTTTTCATCCTTGACCCCCCCCCTTTCTCCCTGCTCCTCCATCTCTAGGTCCCCTTCCCATTTGCAAAAGCTCTATCTCTATTTTTTCCAATTCTTTTTTTTATCCCTTTTCCTTCCCCTTCCTCCGCCCTCCATCTCTTGTTCCCTTTCCCATTTGAAAATGGTCTCCATATTCCTATTACCTATCTTTTATTTTGCTCTTTATTTTTATTCTGGGTTTCTTATGTAAGAGAAACCATGCTATATGTAAGTTTGCGTGTCTGATTTATTTCACTTAATATTATAGTCTCAAGGTGCATCCATTTACCTATGAATGACTCAAGTTTATTCTTCTTTTTGCAGAGTAGTACCAATGAGATAATATGGGCAAAGCATTTGAAATATTGCCTGGCACATTGTAAGCATTTAATAAACATAAAGATCAACTGTCATTCACTTCCAAATGTTCCAACACTCCCATTCCAATCTATCTACTCTTGAAACAGCAACAAAAAGTCATAAGAGTGTTAAAAAATAACTTAAGAACTTTTTCTTTATAATGTTTCACTATAATTAAGGACACATGAAAGTATATCTGTATTATGATACTATGAATTCAGAAAAAATAATTACGGTCTAAAGCCTTATTACTTAAAATGACATGAAGGACTAGCAAGGAAGAATTATCAGAGGGTGTATTAGAAATGCAGGCCCCAGAGCAGACCTAAGGAATCAGAATTTGCTTTTAATAACAAAGCGCTCCCAGGTAATTCCTGTGCATCAAAGTTTGAAAAGTACTGCTCTCAAAAAGACGACCAAAACCCTACAAGGTAATATAAACATATAAAAAAACACAGTAAGATATTAAGATAAATACAGGCTACAAAAACAACCCAAACACATTCTTTTGCTACTAAAAAGGATCAGAATCACAATAAAACCCAAAGTTTATTTTAAGAATTGTTTCCTTACCTAATGTTAAGGTATGTTAACATCTGCAGGTTTTTAATGGCTTCAGGAATGGTTTTGATGCAATTATGATATAAATTTAATGTTTCAAGCGGTGCAAATAACCAGACATCAGAGGGAATTTCTGTAAAACGATTTCTGGAAAGATCTGAAAAATGAAAATAGAATCTGAGTGTCAAACAGAAATCTATATCCATGGTAATTGAAAGAAATATTTTCATACTTGCTGAATCACTTAAAATCTAAGCAACCATTTAAAATATTTTAAAGTATTATCCACAATACCTAGAAAACAAAAAAACATTATTGAGGAACATATTCAGAGAAAGCTGTTTATTCACCAAATGTAGTGATATGCTTCAACACCTCTAAAATCCTAATATGTTATTTATTTTTTATCAATAAGGAATTCTCCTTGATCTTTAAAAACAAAAACAAAAGAACCTTCTATAATCCCAAATCCCTCAACTCTCCTTCCTTCACTGCTAAATTTAGGTAAATCTACAACAAAATTAAATGTCTTACCATGGACTTAACCCACTGCAATTTGGTTTCTATTCACTTCCACATCCACCAAGGTTACTAACATATCAATAATTATTCAATTCATCTGGAAACATTCTCCTCCTTTAGATTAGAAGACTACTCTTTTTGGATTTCTTCAGATTATCTCTCTGGCTACTTCTTAGTTTCTTCTGGCAGATATTCTTGTACCTGTATCATAATGCTGGTGTTCTCAAGTGCTGTGACATAAGGCACTCTTTCCTTCTCCAAACACACAACATACTGGGTGATTTCATCCACTCCTAGAGTCAAATTACATTTATATACTGAAAAGTCACAAATTAAGAATATGTCTAAATACCTATGCTCTGATCTTCAGGACTTCCCCTTTTTTGTTTGTCTGAGACAGGGTTTTACTATGTAGCCCAGGCTGACCTCAACCTTGCATTCTTCCTGCCTCAGCATCAATGCTGGGATCACAGGCATGCTCAGCTCAGGATTTCCTCTTAATTTCTCTCCGACACTTCAAATTCTACAAGTGTAAATTATGAACTAAAGATTTTTTCTACACACTTATTTTTTTTTCACACTTATTTTTTTATTTCAACCAATGTCACCAACATTCTCCTAGGGAGTTGCTCAGGTTAGAAACCTGGCATTCATTCTTGATTCTTTCCTCTCCTAAATTATCCCAAGCACACAAAAATATATTTTCATTCATTTAAGTTTTTAAGAAAGCAAATTCATGAGATGAGACCATTATAACCATTGCTATTCTATTAAAGGTTTATTCGTTAAATAAAACTTTGAAAAAAACCTAGGACAGCAAATAGTAGATTGAAAAAAATACTCTAAAAGAGTTTCTCACCCTCAGCTGTATGGAATTTTTTATGATGAATTACTGCTGTGGGCGTTGTAGGATCTTTAGTGGCATCCCTGGTATTTACCCACTGAATACGTTAACACCCTCTAGGCCCACCAAAAAAATGTCTCCTAAGGTGCAACTCTTACATCTCTGTTGAGCACCACTGCCTAAATAATACCAAATTAGTTACCTTATCATAGAAATATATTTTGCTTACATTAGCTTATTACACTTATTTTGTTTAAAACATAAGAATATTATGTGCCTCAGTCGGAAAAAATATCTACAGTCCAGTTTAGCCCATTGTACCTCACTTATCCATCTGGTCTACCCTCATAAGAACAACTACCTCCTCCAGTTACCTCAATAATGCTCAACTTCCTCACTCTGAAGAATAAAATCTATTTACTTAGCACCACAGTAAATTCCATCTTCAGAATATTAATAAATATGTTTATATATAATGTATATGTATTAATATCTATGGATAGAGAAGAGGGGGCAGAGAGATGACTGTCATTCTCATCTAATGTAAAATGTTATAATTAGCAAAGCAAAATGTTAACAACTATTATATAATATGAAAATTCGTTTGGATTCTTCTTCCTTCCACTACAGGATTCTGAATAATTTAACAAAATTATAGAATTGCTAGAAAGTGCAATCTGAACTTGACATAAAGTTTCTCAATATTCTGGCTTATCTCCTCTGGACACTCAAGGATCATATAGACTATTGATGAGGAAAATGAAACTACTGTTTTTAGGTTAGAGGTTTTTTTAGAAGTAAGACATCTAGAGTTTTACTTCTTATTTTGTAATTTCAAAATCCTGGAAGTTGAAAAATCACTGCTTGCATTAATGTGAAATTCTAAGAACAAATTTATGCCCAGTTTGTTATTCTGCATAATATCCAATGTTAAGTACTTATAAGTACTACAGTGGTTGCAGAGATAGATGGTGGTAGCTTGAATTAAGATTGCAAGAATTGGGGTTTTTTAAAAGTAGGTAGAATTTGAAATATATCTTGGAATGATTACTTAAGAAATGGCAAGTGACATGCTATGTGGGATAAACAAGCACTAGAACTCAAGGATGGCACCAGGATTCTGGCCCGGGCCCCTTAATGATGTTATCCAATGAGTAGGGGTGGAACTAGGTTTTTGTTGTTGTTGTTACTCTCAGTTTTGTTTTGTTTTTTCAAGCCAAGTTACAATCAAGGATTCAGTTTTATCTGAAAACCACTTGAGGGATTGTTAAATGGACATTAAATGAGTCTATATCTCAGAAGTGAGGTCTGAGATGAAAATATAAAATTGGAAGTTGTGGGACTATTTTAGTACTCTAAAATCATACAAGTGGAAGATATCATCTAACCTAAGAATACTGAGTTAGAAAGAGAGATCAAGAATTGGCCATCTGTCAGGCATAGTAGTGTGCACCTGTAACCCTAGTTCATCAGCAGGCTGAGGCACTAGCATCACTTGAGCCCTAGAGTTCAAGACCAGCCTAGGCAACATCTCAAACAAAAAAAGGGACCATCAGAAAGGTCAACATTTAGAAAATGTGTAGAGAAAAAACACAACAATCAAATAAGACTGAAAATAATGGCCAAGAGAAAACACAGTAACCAAAGAAGTTCAAAAGGGGACAGTTCAAAAAGAGACAGAAGAAAAACAAATACTATTATTAATAAGAAAAATTATTTTAATAAAACAGTTTAAATATTATTAACACATCATTCTACTAACTTGCATATTTTTGCCTGATGCTTTATGTTCTTTTCCATCCAAAAAAAAAAAAGATTATTTAGTTAAATCCCAAAGTAATAGCACAAATGCCCTTAGGGAATTTAATTAAATTTACACTGATAAACTATTTTCTGGATGAGTTTTTATATTTATTTAGTAAACACTACATAAAATCACAATAATTATTACTCTAATTGAATGAGGTTAAGTCAAATAAAGTATAATAAACTCAAAATTAAACTCAAGCTTTTATAAAGCTTCTCTTTAAGGAAATCTAGTTGTAGGGTATTTCAGATATTAATCAGTATAAACACCCTTTCTAAGCACTGGGTAAAAAGAACAGTGTCAAAAGAAAAATACAATCATGGAAGAAAAGATGGGAAATAAAACAATTTGCATCTTAATTTTGTGAGCTATCTCACACAAACAGCATTTCAAATTTACACTGAAAAAAGTGAAGATTAACTTGTATATAGATACAAAAGATAAAATTTAAGCTCTAATTTTGAAATTTCACCTTGTGGTGAACACTTAATAAAAGACCTTTTATAACAAATTAATTAACATGTACACTAGGGCAACTAGAATATTATGACTAAGAATGAACATACTATACTAGAAAAATACATGCAAAATTTGTATTTTAATAAAGTTCTTGCAAAAAGAAAAAAATTCTCACCTAAAGAAAACAAACTGCTAAATTATTCCATATTGGGAAACTCATTTCACAATAATTTCAAAGCTTATCTTTTTCTGGAACAAGTATGATGTAGGGAAAGAAAATTACAAAGATTATTCACCGTTTGCACACACTCAAAAAAGAGACTAACACTTAATGTTTATTTTCCTATAATGGACTGAATAGTGGCCCTGAAAGATAATCAGGTCCTAATTCCTGGAACTGTGACTATTACTTTTAGGGCAAAATTTTTCCAAATGGAATTGACCCATTTATGCCAAAGGTTGCAATTTTTGATTTTTTGCATGAAAAAATCATGTTACCTAGAAAAATTCAAGGAACAAGAATTTGAAGAGAAAGGCTTTTATTATGTTCCATTGTTTGTGGGGTTCCAAAACTTGAATTCTAGGCATAAATGGGTTAAGAATCTCGGGATGAGATTATCCTGGATTGTTCAGGTGGACCCTAAATGTCATCTCCTGTATTCTTATAGGAGAAAGGCAGAGGGAGATTAGACACATTGAGGGGAAGGTCACAAGAAGAGAGAGTAACAGGGTCATGAAATGCCAGCAGCCACCAGAAGCTAAAAGAGGCAAGGAATAGATTATACCCTCCTCTGAAGGGGAGTGGCCCTGCTGAAACCCTAGTTTTAGCCCTGTAAAACTCATTTTGGACGTTCAATCTCCAGAACTATGAGAGACTAAATTTTTGTTTTTAAACTATTACATTTTTGGAACTTTGTTAAGCAAACACAGGAAACTAATACACTACAAAATAATTGTTTATCAAAATGAGTAAGAATGCCTGTAAAAATTGAAAATTTTAAATAGCTGTGTATTTTTTATTTTACAGTAAGGTGAAACCTCAATTAATTAACCTTGGATAAGCACCTTTATAAGAACTGAACTATTTTTCTTTTGTCTCATTTTTAATCATAAACCGTATCAAGCAGTATTGGCAATAAATCAACAGTAGACAGATTGCTATGTACTATTTCCTGCCTTCCTTCAAGACGCTCCTTGTAAAACTGCAGGGGGCCTGTTAGAGATGCTAATAGATCACCTTAATGTTATCTAAATTATGTTTTTTAACCACTTTTGTGCTTCAAAGATCAAGGAAGCTAGGAAAGGGAAAAGTCAGACAGAATGGAAATCTGTTTGCTGTCTTCCAACATGCAGCTACAAGCACCCCAGATGGGTCCATTTGCTGCCTAGTGTAATTCTTGGCCCAATAGTTACCATTTCCACCAAAGTATAGAAAATTACTTTCAGAAATGATGCTATTATACTATACTAATTATACTAATTATAGGTTTATTCAGTGTACAAAAGAGCATGAAGGTTTTAGGGT